TCACAGAAGTTTGACGTTGTCTCTCCTTCTCCTTGACCACATATTTCCATTTCTTCTCCCCAGAATTTTATCCTAATGAAAAATACTGTTGTGACTGAAGAAGGTCTTTGTCACCCTATCAAACTTCTCTACAATAGAAATATGTATATACCAGTAAAATAAAACATTTTTATTTTGATTTTCTGTGGACCCATGATAACACCAAAAAAAGATTTCGTACTATTATCTGACAGAAGCCTTCCAGGGCAGACAGTGAAGGTGTGGCAGAAGAGACGTCATTAAATTTAATTTGTTATCACCTCAGTCCAATTATATATTATATCTGAGCCCAGACCATCCCCAAACAGGACAAATTGCCCTGTTCCTGCGCCGCGCCTCGCTGTCAACAGAGAAACATTCCAGAAGAGGACAGCGTTAAGCCTGACCTGAGGTTGCAGTACCTGCTGAAAGGAGGGTCTCGAGCGAAGACAGCCTCCCAGACCCCAATCTTTCCAACCACACTTGACCGTTTTCACACCCTGGGGCAGTGCACAATATTGAGATTCAGGAAGGGTGAGAAAAATGCCTCTTTTCTGAAAAGTGGGAGAAGAGCAATTGTGAGTTAAGAAGAGGCAGCCTGACCACTGGCCCATTCTCATCCAGACCAATTTTAAGATAAAATGTGCGATGACTTGTGTTCCCCAAAAAGATATGCTGAAGGCCCAACCCCCGGCACCTCAGAAGGTGCCTGTATTTGGACACAGAGTCACTTACGATGTAATTAGTTAAGATGAGGTGATCCTGCAGTGGACCTCTAATGCTATGACTGGTGTCCTTACCAGAAGAGACAGGCACAGAGGGAGAAAAATGCCGTGGGACGATGGAGGTGGAGGCCGGAGTGATGCAGCTGCAAGCCGAGGCAGGCCAAGGGTGGACGGCCCCCACAGACACCCGGAGACGCATGGAAAGATCCTACCCACAATCTCAGAGGGAGCACGGCCCTGCTGACACCTTGATTGCGAACTTCTAGCTCTAGAACTGAGATAATACATTTCCGTTGTTTTAACCGACCTCGTTTGTAGTCCTTTGTTACGGCAGCCTTAGACTACAATTCCGTATAGGAGTTGAGGATTCGGAAATCGAGTGCTCTAGCACCATCTGTGTCCGCACACCCCCAGAAGGCTACCCTTCATAAAGGAGTCAGCTCCCAGAACTCCCACTAGACGGTGCCTAGACACCTCCTGAGGGCAGGCCAGTGCCTGTTCCAGGCAGATCTGTTACTGTGGACTCAAACACAGGGACCGGGGCGGACTACACGGGGACCACTGCTGCATCCCATCCAACTCGACGGTTGCTCAAGCTCCTGGGTGATTCTCCTGCTCCCAGAAGTTAAGACCCAATAAACAAGGAGAAATTATAGCTTTGTGAAATCTTCAATCTCTCCTGATGAAAAGCAGCACAGAAAAAAAGTATTGTGTCTTTTCTTACTTGAGATTCTGGCTGCACAAAATATAAATGTTAAAAATATGATATAAACCATTTCTTTCTCCTTTATATCACATTGTTCCCACAACAAATGACGAAAAATTGAGTCAAAGCAGCAAATTGCTGAGTCAGCGATAAAAGTGTCAAAGTACAACTGTTTGTTATGGTTCTTAAAAATAAATGGATGTAATTAGCCTTCTTAAAAATCCGGTACAAATCAATCCTTTCAATACTCTCTAGGACATGATACACCCTCTTCAATTCACTTCAAGGCTGATTTAGGAGCAATGTTTTAAAAAGCACTAAATTTCAAGCTTTCTAGCTATAGATCTTAAAAAAATTAAAATATTTACACAGGGCACTTAAGCGTTATAATTTATTTTGAAATACAAATTAGCTTCTCAACTCCAGTTCTTAGCTCTTTGTTCTCCAATCTTGAGTGTTTCATTCTAATAGCACATTCGTAGCAAGGTAAGGGAAGAGGGAAACGGAAGTGAGGTGAATACAGAGTTGCGGGCGAGGAGACAGCAAGAGATCTGAAGTAGCCCAGCTCTGGTCCCAGAGTCAGATTCCTTCTCTACATCATGGGCCTGGAGGGAACTTGGTGGTGGAGAAACACCTTCTCTGGGATTCCAGAATCCTAGCACTTGGTTTATAGCTTCCTTGCATAACTTCTCTGGCAGTGATTTGTGCAAACGCTTATTTCAGTTTTGAGACGGGAGCCCCCCCGAAGGCATCCACTCCCTGGTGTACCCTGCGGAGGACCTAGCACAGGCCTGCCCTCAGGAGAAGTCAGGAAATACGCACATAAGCCTGCAGGGATTCTTGCAAAGTAAATGTATTTGGGGTCAAACAGACTTAAGTTGAAATCCTAGCTCTGCTATTGCAAAATGGGAATTATGCAGCAATTATGAGGACAAAATGGTGTGATTCATGTATGTCACTTGAGACAGAACCTGGCACCCAGTAAATGCTCAAAAACATCAGTTAACAAAAATTATAGTAATATTACATAAAAGCACAGTAACCATGTAAATTCTAACTGTAGTACATCAAATTATATTCATCTAAATTTTCATTAACAAGAGTAATACAAGAGATTAATAAAGTTACCATCATAATCTCTAGAATTAATGAAGTTCTTGAGTATATACTTTAGTGAACTAAACGAACTTCACAACTAAACTTTTTCTAGATATAAACAAATGGTCAACTAACCAAAAGAAGAAATATCTCACCTGCCATAATTTTAAAACTTGAATATACTCGGGAAAACTTTTCAAGCACCTCACGAGCTTCGCCTCCCTTGCATGGTGATGTGCCATATGCTCTCCATTAGCAATGGTTGGTAGGAGTGGCCACTAAAATATTTCTAGATTACTAATTTAGCAAGCACTAATTTCTTGCCTTAACCCCTTCAGTTATACAGTAGTCCCCCTTAACCGCAGTTTCGCTTTCCAAGCTTTCAGTTACCCAGGCAACTGCAGTCCGAAAATATTAAAGGGAAAATTCCAGAAATAAACAATTCATAAGTTTTAGATTGCACTGCCCTTCTGAGTAGCATGATGAAATCTCGCGTCATCCTGCTTCCTCCAGGCCTGGGACATGAATCATCCCTTTGTCCAGTGTATCCACACTGCATAAGCTACCCGCCTATTAGTCACTTAGGAGCCGTGTAGGTTATCAGATCGACTATCGTGGTATCATCGTGGTATCGCAGTGCTTGTGTTCAAATCAGCCTTACTTTACTTAACAATGGCCCCAAAGTGCAAGAGTAGTGATGCTAGCAATTCAGATATGCCAAAGAGAAGCTGTAAAGGGCTTCAAGTTAAAAGGTGCAAGTTCTCGACTTAAAAAAATCATAAGCTGAGGTTGCTAAGACCAACGGTAAGAACAAGTCTTCTATCCATGAAACTGTAAAGGAAAAAGAAATTCATGCTAACTTTGCCAACACACCTCAGATACGTATGTATAGAAAAAAATATAGTATATTCAGGGTTCAGCATTATCCGTGGTTTCAAGCATCCCTTGGGGGTCTTGGAATGTATCCCCCGCAGATAAGGGGGACTACTGCATTGCTAATTTCCCAGACACACCCTTCATAATGATGCTAAAAAACACTTGAGCAGTTAACCAGCTTCTCTCCCATCCTAGAGGAAAAATTGAGGAACTTTACATGGAAATCCTTGATATGTAAGCATCAAAAAGCAGAATGAGAGTCTCAAAAGCCATTTTTTTGTTAGCTTCTGACCTATCCATGATTAAACAGCCATGAGAGCATGTATACATTAGCGTCTACTGGCCTGTGATGTTTGTGGATGTATCAGAACTCAGAGGTATATGTTTCAGAGCACTTCAAGTCTACTACAAGAGGCATGATTTTGTTCCAGGCACATGTTTATTAAAATTTGACTGCAGGATTCCTCTACAAGATATTTTCCCATGCGACACAGCCTCTCCCCTACCCCACCCCCACAATCACTCTGACTTTAACTTTCAGTGACAAAAAAGGCAAAGGGTCATGTATGTCATTGATTATAAAAATCTATACTCTGGAATAATAAAAAAATTCCTTTCCAATGTGTTTCAGTTATTTTTGAAGAACTCCACTGCTCGTCAGTCAGCCAGCACGCCACTGGAAACGTGCACAATCACAGCTAATTACAAATTAAAGTCTATAAATTCATCCTTCAAGTTTCCACATCTGAAAGAAAAAAAGCACGAGGCAGAGAACAATAAACGAAGACAGGATGACCGAATGAGGGCCCTGGAGCTCCAAGGGGAAAACAAACAGAGCCGCAGAATCCCTCAGGGCCCATCGCCAGCAGCTAAATTTCTTCAAAAATCAGACTCCAGATGTCCCACAATCTCTCAAATTTGTGTTTTTACAAATTAGGGAGTCAATATTTCCTCACAAGAGTACATAAACAGCTTCCCCTCTGAATGAGGAATCTTTAAAACTTCAGAAGCTGTATAATGGAGACCCTCTTTGGAATAACATTTCTAAGTTGAGAGAAGGGACAGTTGTAATGTCCTCTCATGGTTCACAGGTTTTTGTTTCTGCGCTGGTGCTTCTTCATCCAAGAAGAGATGGATCTCTTTTCTAGGTCCTATAGGCCACTTTCTCTTTTCATCATCTATTTCAAGGAGAATAATTATTAGAAATCTTTTAAGCTATAATTTCTGGGCTTTTTTAAATTTCGTTGAAAAAGAAACTACATTGGAAACACGCAATACTGGGTTATTCAGCTGGATGTGAAGAGGCACGAGGAGAGATCCAAAAATGTTCCCCTCCTCCAGGCACAGACGACTTGGATCTGAATAACTAGCACATTAAATGACTCTGCTAAACAAGCAGAGATTCCAAATGTTAAAAACAATTATATACCAAAGAGGTACCCCAGGCAAACGTGGTGGTATATTTTAAAAGCTAGATATATCTTTAAAAGATCATGCTCACATTAAGTAAATTATGTAATGATGAAACATCAAAATTAAGTTGATGAATAAAAAGGCACACTCTAAAAGTTCAGGAGTAGAAAGGATAGGACAGTTCTTTCTGGTTTGTTTTATTTCTAATGTAGGAGGAAAGGCAAACAGGTGTATTAAAATTATTTTTCAGGTGAAGTTTTCTGTCAGTTGAAGCAGTTAATGTGGGCTTCTTTCTCCCTGGTCCAAAGCAGTCTTTTTTTTCATTGGCTTCTGAGAACGCATTTAGTCTTCCACCATGTAGATGCGATACATGAGGGCTACGACCAGTGCTGAGATGGCTGGGATCACCCAGTTGGTCCACCAGCTGGAAAGAAACAGCAATGATGCTTACATGGTGTTGGATGCAGGGGACTCAGAACTTTTGCTCCTTCTGATTACCATGAAAATCAGCATGGCACATTCCTACTACCTCTCTAACCTATCTGGACGAAAAGACAACTCTGAGTTGCCAAAAGCAAAGTGAGTGCCTGGGTATACCAGCAATTCTCTACCCTTCTGGCCTTAAGAGAAAACTAATGACCCTCCAACTCCAATTAAATCTATTCCTACAACTTACACAAAGAGCTATGAATCACTCCCCCACAGATGCCACCTAGGACTCGTGACTCACTTATCTAAAGGACATCAACTCTGGGTTAGCGATCACAAGTTCACAAAAGTGAATATTCCTTACAGGCTTTATTCTAGTTACATACATTAATTAAGGATTTAAAATGACACTAACTTGAGAACCAGAAGACCAAGGTTCTCATTTTGGGAGAGCCATCCGCAAGCTCTAGAGCCAAGGGCAAATCATGTCCCCCCAGCTGTAAAGTTCAGGGGTTGAACTGTATGACTAAGGGTGCTACTAGCACCACAGCTCTCCACTCTGGGATTCTGTCCTGAAAATCTCATCTTGACACGTACGTGGATTTAACATGTTAAGAAACAGCATGCCCAAACTGCTTAATCTGTGGTCCATCGGTATAAATCCCTAACTTACACATTGTTCAGTCCTGATGCATAGAATTTTTGATCTACTATAAATGACAGATTACGAATCAAATCAGGGGACAGAGCTAGGAAGATCTTCCATTTAGATTTGAACCTATAATTTCTTAGAGAACAGAAATTAATATATAGGTTTTAGACTCAGAATAAAGCCAGATAACACCTATGAATACATCTATTTTCTGTCATAAACTTCTTATCCTTTAATATTCTGCACACATCAACCCATTCAAAGACCAAGTTCAAATAAAGATTTAAATTGCAAAAGGATAACAAGTGTAATTTTCATCTTGGCGGGGTTTTCGGTTTCCATTTAGAAGGAAATTGACATGTCAGTAAAAAGTAAGGTGAAGAACTGCCTGCAGGCTGGGAATGTACCAGAACACTGACAGACTGTGGTTAAATTTGACAGGGTGAAATGAAAACAGGCAAAATGTGTGGTTTTGAGCTTGGGTTCAAAAAAAAAATATGATGGCAATTATACAAGTCAATATGGCAGAGCTGCCAAAAATGTTAATATGATCTTGGACTGTAATGAAGAAATCTGGTCCCTAGAACAAGTGATTCATGCTATACTTGGATTACTGGGTTCAATTTTAGGGCCAACTTATAACAAGGACAAAGGAAAGCTGAGCCATGCTTAGGAAGACGTAATCATTACAATTAAGAAACTGACCATACATCAAATGAGGAAGGAAATGGAACGTTTGCCTGGAGATGACAAGATTGCACAGGCCATAGGACTGCACTGAGGGAAAAAGACTCGATTTGTTCTGTATGTTCCTTAGGGCAGAAGCAGCTGGAGGGCGAGATTTGGGGTCACTCTGAAGAGAGTCCACAGCCTGAGCTGTCTGAGAGTTTAGGAGGGAATGCCCCAGGAGTCTGGGTGCCGAGTGGAGATAACCACTGGGCTGTTGGCTGAGAGTGGCACGGTGGGAGCCCGCGCATCAGAGAGGTGCCTCAGATGGGAGGAGAGGCTCCTAGGCCAACTCGGACTCTATGAGCCTTCCAGTGCAATAACACTTTAAAAGAAAACTGCCACATACCTGGAATCAGAATCAACAGTAGTGATAAGAGTTTCCTGAAACACAAGAGAAAAGGTAAGTTAAAGGGATCATCTGAACATTTATTCAACTGACTAAAAACCTGTTTTAAAATAAGATCACAATATTATATTCAATGCATTCTTCAAAAAATGTTGAAAGGGAAAGTTACATCATAAACTTCCTTTAACTAAAATGCCTAATTTCACCATCTTTTCAGACAAAAAAAATTTAAGAATGATCTATATTTAAATTATTTATAGAACATAACCCAGATAACTTGAAAATAATGTTAAAAATTAATAGGCTACATAAAATATCTTACACACAATAGACATCTAAATAGTTTAACGTAGAAACTGAAAACACCATTTATACATACACACAACCCCATTATTACCTTTAAAAAGCGCAGTTTAATTCTTCAAAAGCATGAATGAAACATTCAATAAAAACATCAGTTATTTAATTCAAATCTTATATGAAGTAAGTATCCCCAAATTAAATTACAGACATGTCAACCAAAAAAAAAAAAATCAAGAACCGTCAGTTTGTTTGGTTTTGTTTTTTGTGTTTTTTTTGTGAGGAAGATCAGCCCTGAGCTAATATCTGCCAATCCTCCTCTTTTTGCTGAGGAAGACAGGCCCTGAGCTAACATCCATGCCCATCTTCCTCCACTTTATATGGGACGCCGCCACAGCATGGCTTGACAAACGGTATGTAGGTGCGCGCCCGGGATCCCAACCTGCGAACCCTCGGGCCACCAAAGTGGAGCTCGAGCACTTAACCGCTTGCGTCACCGGGCCGGCCCCAAGAACCGTCATTTAAATTATAACACCCTGGACCACCTCTCCTGGTCTTCTTTAACTCTGACAAGACAGTTCTAGAAAGACTCTGGAGGCCTCAGGGGTGGACTTCATACTGTCACCTGCCAGGAAGCCTCCAAACGAGGAGACCGCGTGCATGGGGGTCTTTCACAGTTATGACCTGTCTTATCTTCCAGAACTGTCCCAGAGAAGCTCTTCTTGTCAGTACCACAAAAGTGAACTAAGGATGGCCCTGGAAAAATGCATACTTCCCCAAACAGCTGAATAACTAAGGGCTAGTGAAACAAACTTTTCAGGCTTGAAAACATGTTAAGAAGCATTCTTTTGATACTCCACACCAGCAAAGTATTAGTGCCTCAAAGGAAGGTAGCCATGAGTCAGGCAGCTTCGTCAGAAGTCCTGTCTCTGCAGCTCCCCAAAGCCAATCGTTAGCAAAGCCATCAGCGGTCTCAGCGAGGCGAAGCTACACTCAGCAAGGCGTGTTACAGAAGCTCCCGTGAAAAGGCAGGAACCTTTCAGGGAAGAGCAAGCAAAGCAGTTACCAGACCCACCAACCTGGAAACACGGCCTTTAAGATTCCTGACACGATAGGGGGGAAAAAATAAGTCATTTAAAAAGAAAACTGCACATTTATTATCTTTTTAAGCAATGTTAGAACTTAGAAACTACAAAAAGTATGCATAACTACTGCAAGATTATTTTTCAAATTTTGCATATATGAATAAAATTAACACGGATTACTAGAAATAATTAGATTATGCAAAAACATTTAGCTATTAGAAGCAAGACATAATCAGTTCTGAAAGTCAAACACAACAGTTCACTAGAGGTGAAATATTATTGCCACACTAGAAAGTTAAGCCTGAACTAGTAAACACAAGGCAAACACGGATCTGTTATTTCGTTATACTGAGCACATGCATTTTACCAAACACGCCGACAGCTCTTTATGGAAACTGGGCTGGCCTGTCCTTGCTGCACCCTTGTCATGGCCATGAGTGCTGACGCTCAACACTGCCAGTGCATCATCGCCACCAGGAACAATGACCTTCTAAAGAGCTGAACTTCACAAGATCATATACACTTTTGATTGCTCATTATTTGTTAGGCTCTTAACCCAGGGATGCTTGAAAGTTAAAGCAAGTTTGAATTACCACTTAGCACTTTGATGAAAAAGGAAACTGTCGTTCCTGTCTAATGCCCTGAGGGACCTAAGTTGGATTTCGATCTAACTAACAAATATGTCAACAATAAACAGGGAGAAAAAACTATGGTTTTTATTAGGGGCTCTGCCACCTGTTCACTTCGTGACCCTGAGGGGTTCAGTTTCAAGCAGGAAAAGGTTAATAATTAAATCAGTACAGGATGAGCTCTATATAAAAGCATGTAAAACCCATCAAGCTTTGGCAAATCAAAGTCATGTCATTTGTAAGTTCATCTAACTTAGCCCATTCCTTAATTGGAAGGCTTTCCTAAAAATACTGACAGAATAATGCCTTTCATGCGAAGTCTAGAGCCTACATAAGTGTAAGAGACTGCCACTGCCATGCCTGAAATGGGTGCTAGCTGTGGTTCTGCAGTGTGTGACCTTGAGCAAGGTCAAAGCTTGGAACAAGGTCTGAGCTTCACTTTCTTCACCTTCCCTGGAAGGTCCATGGATCCCACAGAAATATCGTGAGAATCAAATCAAGTCTTTTATACAGCAATGCTTTGAAAACTACAACCAAGAAAAGGTATTGCCACTACTAACATCCTCCATGTAAACAAATTTGATAGATATGGATTTGTTTAATTAAAAATGCATAATTTCTATGTCTACAAATACCTTAGTTTGGCAACCTAACATCATGTTTTCCTTTGGGCAGGTACAAGCTAATAATCTTTGCTGCATCTTATTTCACAATCCAACTAGATATTTTAAGTAGGCAATGTGCCAAAAATTCAGACCCCAGCATACGTTTATCAGCCTGGGGACAGACGGATGGTTATACAGACACACACAACAAAAGAAACATCTAAGAACACTCTTATTCTGCTAAACTAGAAGCACAAGACAGATAAATCTAGAAGAGTGACCATGTATTTTCTTTCACAGTATTTGCTTACGGCCTCCAAGCAAAACAGCAAGTTCTTGCCCCACATTCCCCCAGTTCTGCTCTAACATAAGCAGTCACATATGTTCTACAAGCAAATAACAGAGAAGAGAGTCTGTCTTTCAAAAATAAAGCCGTTATGGTAGAAGACGCCAGGCCTAATTGGTGTTTTCTGCTTGTGAGCATCGTGGTTTGGGATGTGGTTGGATCTATACTAGATCTAGGTTCATGCAATGAGCCTTATCAAATCCTTGTTTTACTGTAGCTGAATGATTTGCACCAAGACTATTAACATACTGAATACCTAACAAGAAAACATATACTTTTCCTTGACAGATTTTGGAGAAAAAGCAAAAATGTCATGCATCACAAATTTCAGGGGTGCAAAAAGTAGCCTCAAAAAAAGCACTCAAGTATGAACTAACAGCAAGGATTCTAAGCAATTGTTACAGAGGCAATTCGAATTCTGAAGTCCATTTTTCATCTTCCTGACGGACTCAGATCACCAAGGTTGAGCTTAAGCCTTTTTTGAACAGGGAAAGAAGAGGATATAAATGAAATTGCTTTGCACAAAACAGCCTTAGATAAGACTTTTATTGTACTATCTAGGGTGTTGAGGTAAACATGGCCTTTATGCTCTGTCGGGTTAACTGCTTTCATTTTGTTGTAGGTTAAAGATAATGTCCTGTCAGCAACAGTAGTAAAATGAGTTCCCCAGTTCCTAACACAAGCTCTGTGGAGTCTGCTGCTATACTCTCTCTAATAAAACTGAGAGTATAAACCAAAATGAAAAAATTATACTCTTTGTGTCGTTTGTTTCGAACAAAACTTTCTCCCAAGGTCTTTTAACTACAGACCAGCAACTATTCTATTTTTACTTTTTTTTTTTTTTTTTGCCGAGGAAGATTAGCCCTGAGCTAACATCTATTGCCAACTTTCCTCTTTTTTGGCTTGAGGAAGATTAGCCCTGAGGTAACATCTGTCGCCAACCTTCCTCTTTTTTTGCTTGAGGAAGATCAGCCCTGAGCTAAGATCTGCGCCAATCCTTCTCCACTTTATATGTGGGTCGCCACCACAATGACCACAGCGTCATGGCTGACAAGTGATGTAGATCTGCGCCCGGGATCCGAACCTGTGAACCCGGGCTGCAGAGGCGGAGCGTGCCGAACTTAACCACTATGCCAGGGGGCCAGCCCCCTACTTGTACTTTTTTGGAACTTTGACTGCTGTCACCAATTCTTACTATGGATTTATCTTCAAATGTAAGTGAGATGATCAGCTCAGAGAGAAGGGCTAGTGAACCAGAGCGTAAAATCAGTAGTACTAGAGTTATTTTCCTTCCCTAAGGAAAATGCACCAAAATGTTATTATTTAATCAACATTAAATTCATCCAACAAATATTTATTGAACACCTACTATGTTCCAGAGACATGGAGATGAAGAAGACATGGGTAGTGTCCTCAAAGGTGTAAGTAATAAGACCTTGACTCAATCAGATTTTAAGTTCTCTGAAAATACAGCTTGTGTCAAATCTTTCAGATCAGAAGCACAATGCTACTTTTATAAAAAGTAGCTCTTCAAAAGGTATCTATTGACAATTATGATGAAAAAATTATTTCAAGTATTGAGAGTCTTATGAAAATAACACACAAGCTATCCTAACAGAACGTAATGACTAGTCTATACAAATAAACTTTGCTGAGCCAACAGGTTACATATTCATCTAACCTAGGAAGGCCTGTGCTGGTCTTTGCCTTCCAGTTTGACAGAAGTGAAATACAGTGAAGACAACTACAGCCCCTGAGACATTTGAGATGGTCACACTTACCGCAGGCCGGGTTATCTTTGATCTGTCATCCTGCAATAAAAAAAATAAGGCACATTATGGAATGAAAAGACATCTACAAAAAGTACCATTTCCAAAGTCCTTGCTTTTACTGAGTTTTTTTTAAAAAACATTAGTACTTAGTAATTCGCATTTTGGGTTCCTCTATCTAGGTTGTTAAACACAAAGTTTGATCCATCTGACCTGACTGCAAAAATTAATAGCAGATTAAGTGTCGAGAGATATTTTCGATCTAGAGTTCCAAAGTTGAGAATAGCATCCATGACAGTCATATTTATATGCTGATGTATATTTACATTGATTAGACTTGGATTGCGATCCTTAATTCAGGGAGCAGCTGAGACCTAATTAGATTCTTCCCTTCCATCCTCTCAAATTCCCTTGGAGGGGTGTGTCTGCATGTATGAGTGTGTGTGCATGTATACACGTGTATATGTGTATCTTATTTGTGTGATATCCTCAGTGAATTCCCACAATCTCCCAATTACAGGGTCATAATCTACTTAAACCTCCAGCCAAAGCAGTCCAAAATAAAGCACATCTAAAGGCTGACCACAGGTAAGCCCAGTGGGCAGGTGAGACAGAAATGCTGCAGTCACGGCCTGCAAACCCACCCGCTCTACCCCACAAGCTTTGGAATGGAAAGAATAAGGATTGAACATTTTAAGCCCAGCCTCTCTGATGACCATAAAACTACTTCACTTTTGAAGTATGAAGAAGAAAATATGTGGGCAAATAAACTTTCCAGACAAATGAAGCTTACTCTCCAAGTATCATCTCCTACCACCAAAAAAAACCCTCCCCACTCAATGGAACTTGTTCTAAAATGAATTTCCTATCATCAGGCCTTCCACAAAGAGTCTGGCTTAACCTTCCCTTGATTCCTGGTCACTACAAGAAGCATGCATCCACCATATACAAGACTTTTCCTACGTTTTTTTGGTTTTTAGTGGTTTCTCAATGTGCTCACTTGGGTTGAGGGTATTTGCCAATGTTTTTCCTTGTTAAAGAGCCCACTTCCAGCAGCACCTCATCCCCCTTCTGGTTGGCTACTGGCAAGGAACCACGAGCTGGGAAAGCAGAAAGGAGGGCGCTGGCTCTGAGGAGAGGTCCAGGTGCACTCCAGAGGTAAAGAGGAGGGCTTAACACACAGCGTGGGACCTGCCTGTCTGCTCAGGATGCTCAGAGAACTCGGCTACTTCTTTCCAAGTGCTCATACATTCCTGATAACTTCAGTTGACGGACTAGCAAAGTTTAACATGGTCATTTAAAACTGCCACAGAAGAGCCTAAGTTTTATAAAAGCTAAATGAGGCCTGTGTTTTTTTAAAGTCAGTCCATAAGCTGGCACCAAAGGTGATGTTCTCAAAGGTCTGGAGAAGTGAGAAGAATGAGGACAATGTGTGGGTTTTACAGAAGGTAGAGTTCATTCATTTAACATGACTGGTTTCTAAAAAAAGAATTTTAAATCATATTTTAGAATTAAAATATCTTCAAACTAATGAAAGAAAAAAGAAGTTTATTAAGGAAAATATTTTGGTCAAAAAAGAAAAAAATATAATTACACTGGCTTGATACGCCCCACCTTCCAAAATTTGCTGCTCCATGACACTTCAGAGTCTGAGACGCACCACCCTCAGGACATGGCCTTGGGACTAGGGGATTCTGACTCCAAGTGCCAGTGAAAAATGCAACCAGAGATATGCAAAGAAATTTCTGGTCAATTTGTTTATGACAAAAATGGTATTCTAAAATCAGGAGACATTGTTTTTGCTTTACTCCTTTTTAAGTTCTGTAATATGCAAGTCTACAGATTTGAATAAGGTCAATCAACAGCTTTAAAGAGAAATAAGGAAAGGCCCCCAAAAATGTACTTACTGGATGAAGTTCCCCAATGATAAATGTTTTGGACAACTCTCTAGCATCTGTAGAATGCCCGACATCTTCAAAGTTTTCAGTAGCATCACCTCCAGCTTGTTCCCTTAAGACTTCTTCCCCACCAGGATGCTGTTCAAACAACAGATAGATATAAAAACATAAATATTTTCTCCCAGGCAAATGAATTAAAAGGAAGCGGCCGGTTTATTTAACCAAATAGGTTACTCCAGAAGTTACAGATGGCAATGTGTGAGTATAAGTAGTCCATAACATGGATGAAAACAACATACTCCTTTGTATTCAATTTCCTTCTTGAAAGAGCAGTGGAACCTTTCTCTAACAGTAAGATGTTCATTTCCCCAGGTTATTCATATGGCAATAAAAGCATTAAGCACTATTTTTAATGCTTCGGGAATGTCCTCTTTGCTTTTCCATAAAGCTCCCATAATTGCTCTTCTAATCTTTACCCAATCTACTTTTTCTTCAGTCCTATACCTTGACCTTTGACTTCTTCGGTCTCAGTGTGGACGTACGCCATTACACCTTAGATGACAATTCATCTGTGAAAAGCATCCTGCATGCCCAGAAAAGTACAGGCAGCGTACAGCCTGTTGGACAGGCAAGCGAGTCCCCTGCCTCCTGCAGAACTTACCTTCCAGTAGGAAGGAAAAGAAAAGCAAGCAGGTGCAAGAGTGACTTGCTCAAGAAGACTACCAATAGGGAACAACAGAGGCAGAGAGAAGAGTTCAGTTCTACAGGGCGGGGCGGAGGGGTGGAAAGAGGCTTTTGTGTAATCAAAGCATTTTTGTGTTCTCAGCTGCTTTAATTGGTAAAACAAGGATGGTCTCGATGCAGGAGTGGAGACTGACAAGTGGGGCGCAGTCACAGGATAGAGGTGAAGAAGTCTAGAGGTTGTCAGGCAAGGGAAGGAGTTCTCCGTCACGTAAAAAGAAAGTGCGCGCTTGGTTATACCACCCCAAATATTTCTGCTGGGAAAAAAACTTCTCAAATTGAGCTTCAGTATTACCTTAGATCAAATCCACCCCGGCCTTGAGCAAATCACCTGTAAACGTCCAGTAACTGACCAATTCTCCCCTGCACAACTGACTGCAGTCTGTTCTTAATTTCCCCCAATAATGGAAGACACAAAAGTACCTAACATTTTAGAAAGCTAGTCAATGATTCTCTTTTGAAACTTGTTTCTCCTCTTTTGCTTAAACCGACCTAGTGTTAAACAAATCTACTTATTTTTTTCTCTACTATTTGTAACAGTTATCCATCTAAATTATAGAAAAATTGGAAAGCACAAAAAGAAAATAAAAATCTCCTAAATCACTCATAATCTTGCCATCCAGACAGAGCTGGATATACATAGATGTATATGTATGAATAAGTTTAAAAAGAAAATTGTGATCATTACCTTATGTAAGCAGACCGCAACACACGGTACAGAGACAGTACTACCGAGCGGTCACTACTACTATGTGACCTTGAGAAAATAATGGTACTTGTCTCATACCGTTTTTGAGGATTAAATGTGTTAATATATGCGTCTGACACATATGACCAATAAATATTATCCAGCATTTTTATTAAATATTTTCTAATGTCTTTATCTTTTCTCAATATGGCTATATAAATGGCTACAAAATATTACATTGTGTAGACACTTCCAAACTTATTTAAATTTCTCCTATTGGGGCCATTGACAAGTCCACTTTAAACAAACATGGAAGCCACGCTCAAGGTATGGGAGGTAAAGGCAGTTGACCGGCTCTCACTCTGAAAGCCAGCCTGAAGCTTCCTGACGCATCTCCCAGTCTGTGGCAATGAAACATGGTTTGTTGCCTCTGGAATAGTCTGCTTATTGTTGGCCACCGACTGAGGAGTACAGATGCAACAATGTGGGAGATATAAAATGACTAACTTACTCAGCACCCACAAATCATGTAAATGCATAGACTGCTGTTCCTTCCGTGTGGGTGGCTTAACTCAGGAGTTCCTTAACTTTTGGTGCCTGGTAAGGATCTGTGAGGACAGACAAACCTCCTTGAGTAAATCATTATTTTTCAGTCATAGCCTATCTTCAAAGGAAAATTTCAAATGAGGTTAAATACATAGATTGGCCTTTTACAAAGAGTCACAAAATTAGATAAGTTTTAAAAATATCGAATTCTGATCTTTAAAGTGCCAAAATGGAGAAAGGGAACATTCTACTTCATAGATAGTAACACAGCATCTGAGCCTGAAACAAAAGGGCTACTTCTCAACTTAATTTCTGACCAAGCACAGGAAACAAAAGGGTATGTGTGTCTGTCTGTATATGTTTTTATGATTTAGACTCTGCCTAAACCATTTGTGAGGCAGTTTCCCAAGAAAAAAGGGAAAGAGAGAATGAGAGAGAAACAACTAGGCTATATTGGTTTCACTGAGCACTATTTAAGAAAAAAACGTATAGAATAAACAAATTGATGCTAAAATACTTTTGCCCTAAGGATTTTTTAAACAGTTAGTAAGAAAAACAAAGCCTAAAAATTAATTTTTTGGAATAAAATAACTCAAATCTTGGTAAGACAGTAAAATATATGGGACTGCCTTATCATAACACCTAATATTTTCCTTGAAATATATTTATGATGTGGGGAGTGAGAGAAACAGACAGACAGAGACACCTTGCCAAGTAAATCAAGTCTAAATCACGATGGTTTGAAACTAGGCAATTCATCTTGTCACCCTCCTCACTCTCACCAGCAGAGTCATGCTGCAGTTTTTTTTGTTTTTGTTTTTGTTTTTCACTTGAATTTCGGCTTTATTGTGGCATAATTGACATATAAAATTGTATTATATTTAAAGTGTACATCGTGGTGATTTGATATGGTATAGATATGAAAGGATTCCCCCCATCGAGTTAACACACCCATCACCTCACAGATTTGTCTTTTTTGGTGAGAACTTTTAAGTTCTACTCTCTCAGCAAATTTCAATTATACAATACAGTGTTTTCAACTATAGTCACCATGTTTTACATTAGATCCTTAGACCTTGTTCATGCTGCAGTTTTAACAAGCACACATCGCATGTGAGGATTAAAGGAAACGCTCTTCCCAACCCATAGGCACTCGTGAAGGACAAAGAAAACTGGGACTGCTGCTGTTGGTGCCATCTTGGTTATTCCCAGAGACGGTGTATGTCAGCAATTTCTGTCCAGAAACTTGTAGAAAACTTACTGCTACCTTTGGGGCAGATTACAGAGTTTGGGGGTGAGCCAAAGAAAAGGCAAGGCTTTGAAAAAGGAAAGCGGTAAAGTAACAGGTGAGCAAAATTATCTGAGTATTTTCTGAAAGATTTAAGGAAAAGACCAAAATGCCTAGTCACTTGTAGGCAAGATCAGAGGTAACAAATGGGGTGAAATTTTCCGTAAGAGCCAAACTTTGATGAAGTCTGTGTCAGAAATCCGTCCTCGTCAAGCACGACTCACTGGGACCCCCACTCATCGCTGCCTGTGTGGCCGTCAGCAGCTGCAGAGCCCAGAGAAAGGAGGGAGGGCAAGTCAGGGGTGACCGTAAGGAGGACCCAGGAAGGAGAGAACCAGGGCAGCGACGGAAAAACAAGCCATTTCCACCAGAGCTGTCCTTCTAACATAAAGTCTCCCATTTTTCCAGAGGACGATTTCATTTTCCATTTGTATTATCATGTGCGAAAGTTGATTCACTCAACGCACACACACCGAGTGTCTCCATGTGCCAGACACAATAGTGAGCACAGAAGGTCACAGCTCCTGCCCTGGGGAATTCACAATCTAACAGTGATCCAACAGGAATGATCCATGACTCTACAACCGCAAGTGAGAATCGAGGTTCTGAAATGAAACAGCACAGCCCCATGAAGAATGGAACCCTGAGGACTGAGGAACGGCTTCACTGAGCTGAGATGTAGAGTGGGAGTCGGAGTTAAAGCGGAGCAGAGACCGAGGGAATAAACGTCTGGCAGAGGAAGGAGCCTGGCGAGTTCAGGAACAGGAAGAAGTTAGTGCAGGGGGAAGGAGAAAGGGCAAGCTGGAGAGGGCAGGCCACACAGGGCTCGCAGGCCCTTTTATCTTCATCCCGGGAGCAATGAGAAGCCATTGAAAGGATCTAAGGCAGGAAGGTGACAAAATCAGATTTAGTTTTAAAAATATAACCCAGTCTTCAGAGTGGAGAACAGATATAAGGGTAGAAGAGGATTTGAGAAGACTATTGTCTAAGGCATTACAGGAACCTAGGCAAAAGGTGACAGTAACCTAGGGCAGGCTGGTAGCAGCCGTGGAGACGAAGAGACAGAACCTGTCAGAGTGAAGATGGTGAACGAAAGACAAGACGCATCATGATGACTCAGATTTTTGGCTTGTACAGTTGAATGGATGATGGTGACAAGTGGTAGGACTGAGATCCTGGAAGGACACAGTGAGTTAATAATTCCATCTGCTTCTGCGAAATCTCCACTTTATAAGTTACCCAAATATACGTTGCTCTGACAGCATATGAGAACCCCCAGGTACAAACCAGAGAATACCAATAAAATAATTGGAAATAGCTTTCACCGTTTGCATCTATATTTTAAGGTAAATATATAGGAAATATATTTGAAAAGGTGGGCACAGTCCAAAATTCAGAAGACATTAACTTCCATCACCCCTCCCCAATCCTAAGGATGCTTTCAGGAAGACACGGTAAATTCTTGGGGTATCAACAGGAGTGCTGGCTACCAGGTCCTGAAATTACAACTGGCTTTCTACTGCTCATGGCACAAACACTGTCAGCAGCTTTGGCATGGTAGATCTCTCCTCCTTGAAGTGCTTTCTTCACGTGGCTTCCAGGACAACAGGCTCTGCTGGTTTCCCTTCAAACTTACTGATTCCTACTTTCCAATCTCCCGTCTTCTCCCAGTTTAGACGGGGGAGCACCCAGGCCTCCGGCAGTGGCCTGCAGCCATTCTCTGTCTGCGCCAGCTCTCCTGGTGATCTTATCTAGTCTCCGACCCAGAATATGTACTACCTGTTCCCTAATGAACACAGTTGAATAATGACCCCTCTAACTTCCCCAGAGCTCCAGACTCCTCCTCGATGCAACAGCCTACTTAACACGTTCACT